TTGCACATATTTTAGGTGAAAGTGTAGTTAGCTAGCTAACGGTAGCTATGTCAGTTTTTCATATGCATAGTTTATATTCAATGTCATGATAAGGAAGAGAGCGGTAGAGAGGAAGAGGTGGAGAGGGAGATTGTTCACACGTTGCAGCACACATTCCTGATAAAATACCTTAATCTCGTAAACAGAGGATACAATGAATGTGAAAACTTGTAAGACTTGTAGTGTCCTATGAGTGTCTTGGCATCTAATCTAACATAATCGACATAAGTCTAAACCAGACACTGTTTGTTATACAAACAACTCAAACTTTAACCATGCTTGCTATCAACCTTGATGAAGCTCCTATTCCTGCATACACAAGTACCCAAAGTCCATTTGTGCATTTGGTTGAAACTGAGGTTGAAATACTCACATAAAGAAGGGTTCAGACTAGTCGCCTTTAGCAGGTGCTAACATTTTAATTTTTTTAACTCATTTTCAGATTCAAATCTCTCCACAAGGGCAGTGGGCATCCCTGTCTCTTCTGCCTGGTTGTTTTGCGGGTGCTGAATGGAGGGTCGTTAGCTGTATGGGCTACACCTGCTCCCCAGTGTGCTCTGCTCTACCAGTATCTCCCTCATTTTGCAGTCTGGCTCTCTCTGGTTACGACCAAGGCTATTCGAAGAAGGCTGGGAGATGGAGGCTACGGGGTATAACACATGTGCATTGTAACTGGAGCTGTGATGTTTGATGGTTACAGCTAAAAGAAAAGGGGGGGCGATGTCCGATCAGGTGACTTTTGGGTACACTCAAATGGATGGCGACAAATATACAATAGGAGGGTTCATAGAGAAAGCCTTTGTTAATGGTCTTTTACCAAGGACCTTCTCAATAACTGCAGAATTACACCCATATCTTTATTTTTTGTATAAAATATTTTCTGACCCAGGGCCCACTACGAACGCCTCAGTGAACAAAATCAGTCATTCCTATGTTGTATGATAGTGCAGCAGCTACTGAGCCTTTGGACAAGTGGAGACCAGATTTCAGTGTGCACGTGTTGTACCCCAATGATATGATGGGTTCCTTTCTTTTTGTGTTTTGTTACCCACGTACACATGCATACATGCATTACATTACTGATTTACTGATTTCTACACGTTGGCTTATGTTCCTTGGTCGATAAATTACTTTTTGTAACAGGCAGCTTGTGTTGTCTCCCTTTTTTTTGAAGCCTTTGAGTCGGGTTGTGACACCATGCATCCCTGCCAGGGAGATGAAGTTGGATCTAGCGGGTGACTTTTTTAACAGGAGCCAAATTACCCTCAGAGGTCTTTTCCTCTCCAAAACAAACCGACCAGGTGATTTAAACCGGTAAAGACACTGAATAAATCAGTTTTAAATTACAAAACAGTGTTTTGATGCTGCTCATTGCAGATGGACTTCTAAGTATGCTGGCTAATGCAAAACACACAAACACAAATGTTCTTATCTACAGCCAGTGTTTGGTTTGTCTGTTCTGGGCTACTGTAGAAACTTGGCAGTGAACATGGCAATCTCCATAAATGAAGACCCGCTCCTAATGTAGATATAAACAGCTCGTTCTAAGGTAACAAAATCGCAATTCATCTTATTTTTAGGTGATTAAAGACTAAATAAAATAGAGTTTATATATTGTATTTCAGTTCTGTCAATATTGCTCTCTGAATCCTACACACTGGGGCTTTAAGGGAAGAAAAGCAAATCAAGTCGGTCAGCATCCAATGTATACAGCTGACAGGTGAAAATAATTAAAACTAGTCAGACTTTGTCACAGAGATAAGTAAAGAATTCAAAGTAAAAGGACAGCAGCACACAGACTTAGAGACAAAGTCACTGAAATAAAAAAAAGTTCCTCAAACTGAATTGTGCAGAACCTTGTGGTGTGTAACTTTTTCGTAGCCCTGAATCAGCATTCATGAGAGTGTCCGTCTGCTGCAGCCAGTCATCTGAACTGACAGCCTCCCAGGCAAAGAGCTTGTCACTCCAACCTCCTGACTGCAACCACCCCACTTTAATCTTGTTTGTTTGATGTAAAAAAGACCCAGAAAGGGCTATAAACACTCTGCCAAACAGACAGTCTTTAGAAAGGTCAAACAGCATCACTAAATCTCCTTTATTGTTCTTTATTTCACCGCTATTTATTGAGAGTGACAGCAGCAGAATCTGAGTGGATGGGGGAGAAATAGGACAGAAATTCAAGCGGGTATTGACCCTCTGCCAGCCTGAGCATATTTTGGCCCAGTGGGTGGTGAGGGAGCTACACTTCATCAATTGAATAACCTTTTTTAATCTTCCAATAAGGGGCCTTGAGTTCTGGAACCCGCCTTTGAAAAATATTGCAATAATCCCTCTAGTACACCCATGTGTCTGCATCCTTCTCTCTTTCTCTATTAGATTTCTCCTTCATTTCAAACACTTTGAGGACAGTGTGAAGATTGCAAAGTCTCAATGGGGCTTCCTTTTCCCTGCGTTATTGCATTGTCGACCTCTGAGGGCAGTGCACTGTACAGTTTGACAAATCAAACAAAATGTCCGGAAGGGAAGTTTCCATGATGAGAATTTTATGACCACCACAACCTTTGAATCTACTCTGATTAGCTGAATCAGCAGATTGAAAAGAATTTCAGGTATCTGAAGATTTTTGGGGCTAAACCGAGGAACACGATTGGATAAGTTAAGGAATGAAAGGTGCTGATATTGTTCGGCTCACTTTCAAAGTTAGTCAAAAGGTACTCATGGCCCTGTGTTGCTCCAGGCTATTTCATACACCCATTTCCTGAAACCGAATGAGCGCCAGGTCTCGGAGGACAAGACCCTGTTGAAGTTTAATATATTTTGAAGCTTGAGGGAACTACAGATGCGTAATTACAAAAAGCCACTTAAAGCCTCAGCAGGGAAGCTTCTCAATTTTATTCTCAACTCTAAACCGTTTCCTCTGCCTCCAGTTGACATAATACAGCCTCTGGCAGCCATGTTGTAAGCCATCAGTGCTTCGTCACCAGTTGTTGCAAACAGCTGATCCTAAAGGTGCAATTTCAGTGTCTTCGTAGAGCTGAATAAACTGTTTCCAGTGGGGAGGTGAGTATTTCCCAGCTGACACATCACAACAATTTTATGTTTGTTTTCAGGGCTAGCCTGAGACATTTTGGGGCCGTAAGAAGCAATGTTTATTTTATAGTTTGGATCATGTTGTGTTTCACCATATGTTTTAAACAATACATGAGGTGTCGACACAAGGTTGCCCATTCAATTCAATTAAAGATACTCAGCCAGCACAGATGGCAAAAATCTGTCCTGATTTCTACTTGGTACACACTTTCCTGTGATATTTTTACACTGCCAAAATGAAGAGGTCTAATGGAGTGAGGCAAACTTTCATCTTCTAAGTCTGAGCGAAGTCCAAGGGGCAAGTTACAAGAAAAACAAGCATATTTTTTGGAGAGGGTGGTTTGTACAACTCTCTGCCACTTTGACATGCACTGATTAACTTGGGTCATTCCTATATTCCGCAGATTTAAATGGGACATAATGGGAACATGAAAACAATGTTGCCCAGCTCTGCATTTGCTTACAGTAATATGCCATGGCCTACAGTTCAGTTAGGGGACTATAATCTTGACTCTGAGAATCATTACTTGCTCTGGCCTTAGCCCCAATGGTATTTGCTTTACCTGGGGAGCTATCACGATGCCCCAATAGTTACTCTTTTTGATGAGCTCCAACATATTTCAGCCCTAAATTTAAAATAATAAGAACTAGTCAACTAATTAAATGCTCAATTAAAAGAGAGAAGGAAAAACAAAAGATACAAAACACAGAAAATGTGTTATTAAACAATTCAAGGTTAGAAAATCAACAGTAGTTGGACATTGTCATTTACAAACAAGTTAAGAATAGGAAGGAGGTGTGGGGTCAGGTTAGTTTATGTGTGAAATATTTTAACTTGATAGGGAGCGGATCAAATTCCAAATCTTGAATACAACAGGACGGTTAATGTGTGTTAACAGAATACTGAATTTGGGATTACAGGACCCCGGGGACAAAGATACACAGATACCAGCCCAGTCTCCAGAGGAAAATGTTTGCATTGTATGTTTCTGCAAATCATGAATATGTTACATTTGTTTCGTATCATATCAACGTTTCTTAAGTGACATAGTATATGAGCTGACTTTGTCATCTGGAGGTGGAGGGGGTGGTGGATGGCGTGACATCAGCTCAAGACACTTGCCATGCTTCAGACCACTACGGACCACTGTTCTGGACCAGGGGTGTCCAAACTTTTTTGAATGGGGGCCAGATTAGATGATGGGAAAATGCTTCTCACATCATTGGAGTAATTAAAAAAAGGGAAAATAAAACACACATCAACCAACTGTTTTATCTTTGAGTAAAACAGTATTCAACTTTCCACTGCTCCTGAAAGTGACAGCTCCTGCTGTCGACCGTACGCTTTTTGACTGTGGCCACATCTGCTGCCTTGCAGGAAATGTCTGTTGTCTAGGCAACCGTTTAACGTTGGTTTGTGAAAACACATTAGTTCATACTACGCAGTTCCTACTTGGTGCATGTCTACAAAGTGAATGATACTGTAGCTCTGCCATCATGAGATATTGAAAAAATGCGAAATGAACTTGCTTGATCAACCAGTATTGTGTGGCAGACTACATGTATTTTGGAACACAAGCCACGGGCCATTTCATAGACATCAAAACAAGCTGTTTTTTTTAGCGAATCAGCAGCAGCATTTCCAGCCGTGATTGTGCCACCAAAACCGGGTACTTTCGGCCAAAACAAGGCATGTGCCGGTATGACATTTTGACAGTATGATAACCGTGGGCAAAAATACCATGGTAACCGGTATTACCACGGTAACAATAATAATAATAATAATAATAATAGTCTTTATAATAAAACAGGTGTATTTTCGGTATTTTCGCGACTTTCTAGACTTTAAAACAGTTGGCAAATTCATTTGACTATTCATGATCAACAGCACGTACCAGGCATCTCCTGTCAGTGCAACACATCATCACACCAGTTGAGCTGGTTGACCACCAGTTGAGCTCCTCGTTGTTGCGGACAGACAGCTGCAGGTGACGGGGGATGATACGGGTCTTCTTGTTGTCGTGGGCAGCGTTTCCAGTCAAATCCAGGATCTCAGTGGTCAGATACTCCAGCACAGCCGCCACGTAGATGGGGGCACCAGCACCGACAAGCTCCGCATAGTTTCCTTTGCGCAGGAGCCTGTGAACACGGCCAACTGGGAACTGGAGCCCAGCATGGGAGGAGTGGGTCTTTACCTTGGCTCTGGCTTTGCCTCCGGTCTTTTTCGCAGCCACTCATTTTTCTGATGCTCTCTAAAGTCGGGACAAAGTGGGTTCTTCTGCCAGCCAAAATGGTCCCACACCAGTGACTTCATCCTTTTCGCCTGTGGGAAAAGTTCAGCTTCGCCTCCTTCAGCCATGTTTGCAGTTTGCACGTGAGTGGATTTATACTGATTACTGACTAGTACTGACTGACTGAGGCTTGAGGCTTTTTATTAAAGAAGTCTATCTATCTCTCCATCCATAATGAGTTCATCAATGAAACATGATGTCAACCACTCCTCAGTAAAGTTGCTCAGAGAAGTTTTCAGCAGAGGTCTTATGAGGACACGTTTAGCTGAGAACTTTTAGTGTCATTAAGGAGAACTCCAAGTGGTAAGATAAGATACTTTGTCAGTCCTGCCCCAGATCTAATTATTCTCTGTGTGGGAGCTGATGTAGCTCAGGCTGTGCTGATAGCTCCGCTGGTTAACACACGTTTTGTAACAAAGAGGTTGTGTCAACAAATAGCTTGTGGATGTTTGAATACAGTTATATGCTTCTTTTTTCAATTAAACATATTTCCTTTCAGCAGTGGTGTCAAACCAAGAGACAAAGTCATGTTAAGAGTTAAGTTTAGATTTAGAAACACCCCCATCCACACTCATGTTTCTGTGTTTAATACCTATATAATGGTTGTTTTTTGTTTTTATTCATCAAATCAAAAGTAAAATCAAAGAATTAAAGATTCTCCTCCTTTTGTCTCTGGCTAATGGTACAATTACAGCTGTGATTCCAGCGTAATTTCACAAACTCTTAACTCTTTCCCCGCCATTGACAAGATATTTCGACAATCCCTGTTTTCACTGTTATATGATAGGGGGCACTGTTACACATTTTGTGAAATAGAACAGCACCGCCGTGTCCAAATACAAACGAAGAAGATCCTTTGGAAACCCGAAGAAGATGTTGCAGCTTCTAAACTGCACAAAAATGCCGGTGCTGATGGAAAAGTTTATGTCTGGGCAAGCCGTGGAGATGTTGATGGTCTCAGACTCAGATCTGTACAAAGAAGCAAACGAGTTCGGTGGGACGAAGCAGGATCTCCATGACGGTGACAGTGACACACGGACAAGATGAGCACAGAGGAGACGGAGACAACAGAGCACTGAACGTGGCAACGTGTCCCACTATACCTTAAAGAGAATATTATATATATTGTATATATACAAAAATGCTGGCAGTAGCTTAGAAATAATACTCTGGCAGGAAAACTGTTAAAATTAAATTTTATAAAAATAAAAAAAAACAATACAATGCTTTTTTCCTGTTTTCCCTTTAGACTTTTCAGTGCAAGAGTGAGTTTCCCAGCTGTTCACATCACACTGTATTTAATCACAACAGCAGTCTAACAACCTCCAAATCTGTTTTTGAAGAACTGATGAAATGTGCTCAGCATCAAATTTGTATCTGGAAATGTCCCTTAATGTGCCCTGGTGTGATGATAAAAGTGAGGTACTGTTAGAGCAAGGCATGTTTTCATTTACTGGCACAACACTAAAAGCAAACTTTTGAGATTAAGTCAGAGCAAACATTTTGATGTTGCTGCGACAGCTTGCACCAGTGTTGAAAGCAACATGAAGACCAAATATAAGGCAGTAATCAAAGATGAGATGACATCCAGGATGTTCAGAAGGTGCCACTCGTATAATTTTGTGGAATCAGAAACTAAATTTGCTTCTGATATGAGTTCAAAACAACTTTCAAAGCTGTGATAATGAAAATTGCTACCACACCAGGATACCATGTGAGTACGCTCACTGCATGTTGCCATCTGTCTGATGCACAACTACAAAGCTCAAGACAAACGTCAGATTCAGGAAAACTGCCTGCAATAAAAATAACTGCCTCTGCCAGCTCCATTTTTGTCAGAATTTCTTACATCATAACCACACAGTGTGATTATGTTTGATGTTGTGGCTCTGCTGGAGGCTATTGAAGAGGTAGAGGGAAGAGAAGCGAACAAACACTCCTCTGGATACTAACGCAAACAAACCTGCTGATATCACAACACTTTATTATCGTTAAAATTTAAAGAGGAACTCCACGCTGTACACACAGTCACATACACTGGATTCATGCTGGCATATGATCTTATTACTGGTGATTTATATAAATAGATAGAGATATCCTGAGATATGACGTTGAGTAATGGCCAGAAAAGTGTTTTTGTTAGTTAACCTTTGACATTCTGGATATAAAATGTCATCACTTATACACATCATTTTTATCGTGTTAGACATTTGTGCGACACAACACATGGAACTGCCGAAAGCTGCACGATATACAGTATCTTACAAACACATTTGTTGCTGACATACAGTTACGTTAATGGCCATAAACATGGTATGGCTACAGATATGCCTCCCACACACTGAAGAGCCTGCTGGTTCTGCTACAACACAGATATCCACACAGCGACTCTCTCAAAGGGAACATTAATGTGCTTCTATTGACTGTCAAAGCTTGAGCAGACTCCATGTCTCCACAGTGGAGACACAGAGAGTCCGAGTGTAGCTGCTCATGGCTGGTTAGCTCTGACTACCAGCTGATTGGTGGTCAGACAGTCTCCAGCGTCCCCTGACTGTCTGTGTCACACAAAAGTTGTTGCTCTCTTAGCCCCGATCACACAGAGGCAAGACGCACTGCCTTTTTTTTTTTTTTTTAAATTGAATGCCACTAGTAAAAAAAAAAAAAAAAGCTTGCTGCACTCTTTCAGTGTTGCCAGGCAACCACCCCATCACCTCCTTATCCCGACCCAGAGCCATAAAATAGACAGATTAGGATTATTATTCACATTACTATTATGAATTATCTGTTCAAGGGCTCTGCCCTAACCTACCTGTGTAATCAATCTACCTTTTATTTTGGCTGGCTAAAACCACCTACTTATTTTCAGAGTAATCTGTATGTAGTTCCTAAAATGTTGAGGCAGGGGTACTTCCTATAGCTCTAGTTGTGGGTGAGACGCTGTCAGTAAATAGTTTGTTGGGCACAGGGAGACGGAGATCTGTGTGGGTACATGAGACCCTAAAAAGAGGGTGGATCACAGGAAGTACCACCAGTTTCTCCTCCATTGTTTACCAACAGTAAACATGTTGTCGTGACCACCACAGAAGGCTCGACTCTCAAATCATCTGACGGGACAATGGAAAAAAAGCAGAGATGACATTCCCACTCTGAGTTGAACTTTGTCATCTCGAGGAGTTCAGAGAGCGCCGGCAAAAATGACAGGCACCAAGAGTGCAGAAATGCAATGCAAAAACAGGAGGGTGTAGGAACGTGTAGCTATACTTTAAAAGGAACTTAATAATCATGCATGAAAACAAATATGAGGCTATTAACCCTTGTCAACATGCCAGTAGATGTGGATGTATAACCACAAACACACATTGCATAGGTGAAGAAGTGTTGCATCAAGTAAATGCACAAAATACATGCAATACTCAGGAGTCACTGTCACATTTTAAGTTTTATCTGATGTCCTGGCCACACTAGTCGATAAAATTAGCTCTGTATGCAGGAATTAGGAGATCCTAACATAAAGGTGTCAGGCCATTATGTTTTTGAGCCCATTCTCATGAACGTTTGAAGCAGGGGTATCAAACAAACATCCCATGGGCCAGAACCGGCCCACCAAAGGGTCCAATGTGGCCCACTACATGACTATATACTAAGAGGTGCCGGGTTTCAGGAGCAATGCATTGTCTTCTTAATGAAAATAATCTGCTTCAGAGTCTTTACCACCCTGACAACACTACACTTCTCTGACGTAACAATGAATACTTACAATGACCACGTTTAAAGATATTGAACATTGCGCAAAATATTGTCCATCAGCAGCTTCACTTCAAATGAATCTGCATCAGGAAATGTTTGGATAAATGCACATGTAATGACAGTGAGAAGCAGACTGACTGAATGTGTACAAGCTGAGACATACTGTTGAAATGCAGTTGTTTTTCTCAAGTCTGTTTTGTGAAGGGATGTATGTGGCCCATGAACTAAAATGAGTTTGACACCCCTTGTTTATAATGTGATTACCACGGCAAAACAATAAGCAGGTGTGTTATCTTAACTTTTACAGCAAGTGCAGCACTTTAAACTGTATTAAAGCACAATTAGGAAGCATAAAAAACATCACTGAAACTCAGTAACATTTTTGGGGTTAATCATAGTGTGTTCTTTCTGGTTGAGCTCCTTTTCAAGCAAAACTGCCAGCTCCAGCTTCTCAAATGTTACAATCTGCTGATTATCTTTGTCCTATATGATAAAACATTGAATATCTTTAGGTTCTGGACTGCATTTTTCACTCTTTCCCAACATTTCATGGACAAAAGCATTCATCAAATGAAAGAGAAATTCTCAGAGGATAAATCGATGATCAACAATAGATGTGTTTTCCAGCACTCCGCAGCGTGTTGTGTAGGAAGGGCTACATTTGTGTTCCGTGTTATGTGATTCTCCACTGACATTAAACAAAAATGATGTAATATTATGTGACCTGAATTGTTTACTGGGATATGTTATTGGATTTATTTATGGGTGGGCAATGGCTCTGAAGAACATACTGCTCTCCATATCCTGGAGATTATTTTCTTGAAATGAAGAGAGCCTTACATGAGGCCCCTGCCTCTGAGCACAATGCGTTCACACCACTGCCAGCACACAATGAACAGTGCATAGCAGCAGCAGCAGCAGCAGCATGTTGCAGAACCGCACGACCACCTCATGTAATTCGTCTCTTGGCAGGTCTGACAGACAAACTGTCAGCTGATCAGGGCACTGGTGACAACGTGGGGTTTCTGAAATCACACTGGCTTCATTAGAGAAACGGCCTGAGGTGTAGAAATGAGTGTTAGAGCTGCAGAGTGCAGGCTGGAGCTCATATTGTTGTTGTTGTTGTGTTGGTGGTTTCCAGGGGAAGCAGCATGACTCCCCTGAGACAAAACACCAGTCAAAGACAGATGCAATT